AAGATCTAGGGTCAAGTCCCCCTGCTCAGGCAAAATGACTGTAGATAGTCAGTGTTCTCCAGATCATTTCTATAGACATGTCTATAACTTAATATAGAGACAAGATGGGCAAGGTACTGTCTTTTATTAGACCAACTTGTGTTGGTGAGAGAGAGAAGCTATTAAGTTTACACAGACCTCTTCTTCAAGTCTGGGAACCTGAAAAAAAGCTCTGTGTAAGCTCGAAAGCTTGTCTCCCTCACTAACACAAGTTGGTCCAATAAAATATATTATCTCACCCACCTTGTCTCTGTCATATCCTGGGACTGACAACACTGCATATAACTTAATACGGCTTTTTCTATTGTAAATATATTATTTTATCCAGAAATTATTTCTTATTAGTAGAATAATTGTCAGATTACCCAGAATGCTGATGGCATCATTCACAGGTGCCGACTTTTCAAACTGCTGGGGGATGCTTGACCCCTGGCTCTGCCCCAGGCCCTGCCCCCACTCTACTCCTTCCCCCAAGGCCCCACCCCTGCCCTGCCTCTTCCTGCTCCAGCCCCACCTCCACCTCTTCCCGCTCCACCCCTGCCCCGCCTCTTCCTGCCTAGTTCTGCCCCCTCCCTCTGAGTGTACCACATCCTCACTTCTCCCCCCGCCTTCCAACCTCCCTGCATGATGCAAAACAGATTTTTGTGGCGGACAGGAGGTGCGGAGAGGGAAGGGGGAGGCGCTGATCCGCGGGGTCGCCAGTAGGCGGAAGGTGGCACGGGGGCAGGAGCTGATGGGGAGCTGCCAGTGGGTGCAGAGCACCCACCATTTTTTCCCCATGGGTGCTCCAGCCCCGGAGTACCCACAGAGTCGGCACCTATGGTATCATTAGATATTCTGTACAGCGGTTCTTTAAAACACAGAGCCTACGTTTCAGCCATATTCTCATATTTATACATTATGGGACAAATTGTCATTGCTATGTACTATGGATTAGCCAGTCAGTTTCTAATATTCATAAGACCAATTTCTGTTCTATTACACAGGTGTAAATCTGGAGTAACTCCATTGAAGTAAATGGACTCACTTGAGACCCACACCCTTCAGAGTGTAGAATTTTTCCCATTGTGAGAGTTGTCTATCATATCTGTGGCACAAGGCATTTAATACACCTCTAAACTGCTCTATTTTCTGGTTCAGTGTAATACAGTAATGTTCTCATTTACAAACAGATTATCTTCAGTTGAGGTCAACTACTGATTATTTCAGAAAATTAGTAACATTACATTTTGAAATGGATATCATCTGCTCTCAGATAATATGCACAGGTAGTCAGTCTATGCTCAGCCTGAAGCATCAGATTATGCACATGTATTCTAACTGAAAAAGCACTAGGAAATCATTGTAAAGTCGTTTAAAAAATAAGATGATAAAGAAGAAAAAGCTGTACACAGAACACAAAGTTCAAAAGTAATGCAAAAAGAAAGACAATAGTACAACTTGTAACTCAGGGGGATGGACAAGATGACCTAACAGGTCTTTTCCATTTCTAGATTTCATGATTCTATAATGATTCTATCAAACTAGGCAACCTTACCAGAACGTAGTACAGATAGGTCAGTTTTCCCATACCTTATAAATGTTATATTCTGGTGGCGAATGTCCTCTGGACTCTAAATTGCTCTAAGAGAAAAAAATCCTTCGCTTAATAGCAGAGAATTAAAATCAAAGGATATTTTTGAAGCCTACTTTAAAATGTTGTAGCCTTTTCTGATCCCTTTTGTCTCTCAAGCAGAGTTAATTTACACTATTTCAAAAACTGTATGTAATCCCATTTATATCATCAATGTAACTGAAGTACAAATAACAAAATTAATTGGAATGAAATCAGGATACCTTGCTTTCCATTAGGGGAAAAAAAATCAACGTTTGCCAATGGAAACCAGTAAGCTTGGAAATACATTTTATTTTACAGATGAATATACATTTATGTACATAATTATTCTAAAGGATTACTAATAAATTAAAATAAAAAAAAATAAAAACCCAACCTTTTTTTTTTAAAGTATTCAGTAGTTTTATCTCAATTTCACTCCAGGCAGGGCAACATGCCACCCATCTCCTGCCAACAACTAATACTGACAAAAAATAAAAATAAAATAAAACAGTGTTAAGGTAAACTGGGGACGGGGTGGCTCAAATAAATGGTAACCTTCCACCTATAACTCACTAATCCAGGACCAGCTCAGTCATTGCCATCTGACAACTCTATGTTAGCCTTCATCCAGCTCCCAGTGGAGAAGTGTATATAACACAAAACCATCAGCATGGTTGGCATACTTCTTGACAGTGTCAGGAGAAAGGTAAGGAATTCAATAGACAAGAAAACAATTATCCGTTCACATCTATAAGGTGGACAGAAAGCTGGCTAGACCATCGGTCTCAACGGGTACTGATCAATGGCTCCATGTCTAGTTGGCAGCCGGTATCAAGAGGAGTGCCCCAAGGGTCAGTCCTGAGGCCGGTTTTGTTCAATATCTTCATTAATGATCTGTATGATGGCGTGGATTGTACACTCAGCAAGTTTGCAGATGACACTAAACTGGGAGGAGTGGTAGATACGCTGGAGGGTAGGGATAGGATACAGAGGGACCTAGACAAATTAGAGGACTGGGCCAAAAGAAATCTGATGAGGTTCAACAGAAGAATCTCATGCACAGCTACAGACTAGGGACTGAGTGTCTAGGCAGCAGTTCTGCAGAAAAGGACCTAGAGGTTACAGTGAACAAGAAGCTGGATATAAGTCAACAGTGTGGCTTTGTTGCCAAGAAGGCTAAAGGCATTTTGGGCTGTATAAGTAGGAGCATTTCCAGCAGATCGAGGGACATGATCATTCCCCTCTATTTGGCATTGGTGAGGCCTCATCTGGAGTACTGTGTCCAGTTTTGGGCCCCACACTACAGGAAGGATATGGAAAAACTGGAAAGAATCCAGCGGAGGGCAACAAAAATGATTAGGGGGCTGGAGCACATGATTTATGAGGAGAGGCTGAGGGAACTGGGATTATTTAGTCTGCAGAAGAGAAGAATGAGGGGGATTTGATAGCTGCTTTCAACTACCTGAAAGGGAGTTACCTAGGCAAGTGGAGGAATCTCCTTCCTTAGAGGTTTTTAAAGTCAGGCTTAACAAAAACCCCTGGCTGGGATGATTTAGTTGGGGATTGGTCCAGCTTTGAGCCGGGGGTTGGACGAGATGCCTTCATGAGGTCCCTTCTAATCCTGATATTCTATGATCTATGGTCATGTCAGGGAAAGATAACTTGCACTAATGATGCCTATATTTTACTATACAGAAGAACATCAGATTTATGAACACCAGAGTTACGAACTGACCAGTCAACCATACACCTCATTTGGAACCGCAAGTACACAATCAGGCAGCAGCAGAGACCCAAAATAAAAAAAAAAGCAAATATAGTAAAATGTGTGTTAAATGTAAACTATTAAAAATAAAGGGAAAGCAGCATTTTTCTTCTGCATAGTAAAGTTTCAAAGTTGTATTAAGTCAATGTTCAGTTGTAAACTTTTGAAAGAAAGCCATACTGCTTTATTCAGAGTTACAAACATTTCAGAGTTATGAAGAGCCTCCATTCCCGAGGTGTTCGTCACTCTGAGGTTCTACTGTACCTACTTCGTGGATAAAGAGAGAACTTCAATCTTCAAGGTAGCCAATCTAGCAATCTTCACAAGTATCACATTTAGTTTAAGTATTATGGGCTGGTGTCATTCATCAGTTTAAATAAAGAATAACTCCAACAATACTCCTGGAGTTACCCTGATATAAGACAGGTGTGAAAGGAGAAAGAGGCCCCGTATCTATATGCTACTGAACATAATGGGCCTAATTTTGACCTTTCATCAGTTGTACAATGGTGTAACATTATTGACTTCCACTGACATGAGAATATATAATATATAATATATAATGTAATATATAGTACCATATTCTCACGTCAGTGGATATAAAAGGAGTTACATTGATGGAAATCAAAATCAGGCCCAGTATTTTCAACTGTATACATAGATGCACATATAGCTAGAGAATACGCTCTCTCTCTCTCGCTCTCTCTCTCTCTCTCTCTCTCTCACACACACACACACAAGCACACACATTTTGATAATCTAGATGTTTAAAGGGATATCCAAAGTCTTCAGATAACTGAGTTTCAGAAAAGCAAAATCTGGCTTGTATACCAATTTTGAATTCTGGTGACAATTTTTGTTTTTTGGTAGTGAGGATTCAGGTAATCAGGGCTTACCTTTCTATATAATTGTTGATGGATTGTGAAGGGTTTGCATGAAGCAGTAATGTGACTGTAAGCACTCTGGAGTGCAAAGGCATGTGCATGTACTAATCACCCCAATAACACTTATCTGAGGCAGTCTTGCAGTGCACACATGCTACAGGTGCTATTACTGCTGATGAATGCCACTCTTGCCAGTGTTTATAAAGTTATAAGCCTTTCGCCATTGCCACTAAGCTGAATGTACCTCCCGTCTGTATCATCTAGCATAGCTGGGGCTCTCCTAAGACATGAGAGAGTGCAGTGTATTTTGACTGTTTCATCAAACACAAAAAAGAATTCAGGATGACAGTGACAAAAAGAAAATCAAGACTACACTTCAGGGTCAATATTTGCAAGTTTCAGTTTCCTTTTCTTCTACTCCCTCCACCCCAAATTGTATTTGGTTATTGCTTTTTTAATTTTAGAATTCCATATCCAATTTTTATTTTTCATATACAAGCACACCACAGAGTGACTGAATATTGTTTTTGTATCTGCATATGAAACATTTTGGCAAATCACATTTCTTTTGCTTTGCTGCAATTCCTGGCAATATCCATCAAACACACATCATTACTTATTGCATTGTTCCTTTAGCTCAAAAATACTAAGGTTTGAAGAACAAATTATACATTTCCAAAACAAATTATATCTCTTTAAAACTTAAATTTCTTACCTAAACCATGCCTATGTGTTGACATTGGGGGTAAGACAGTCCAAGCCTTGGTTTTTGGATTGTAACATTCAACAGTGTTTAATGTCTTTAAACCATCCCGGCCTCCAATAACAAAGAGTTTATCATCAATGACAGCCACACCAAACTGCAGCCTCCTGCCATTCATCACTCCAGCCTGGATCCATATATTTGTCCTGAGATCATACTTCTCTATAGTTGTAGCACCTGATGAGACATATTAATGGGATAATGTATTTAATGTATATGGCTTCATATACCCCGCCGCCCCCAAAAGATGAGAGCTTCACGGTAATTGTCAGCTTGTTTCGTGAGTCTTATCAATTTTTTTCTGTTTATTTAGAGCCGTTCATAAAATGCCCATGAATGAGTGATTGATGCATCTTTTCCTGGAAGTGAAATAGGAACAAACAGCCACTCCAGAATTAGAGTAGCATTAGTTTGAATAACATTACGTACTACCTTTATGATCTCTTTTACAGTTCAGTGGTATAACTCCTTAAGATCACTAACCTCATTACATTTGTTCAGTATCCTACATAAAAAACCCTGTGAAATTAAGTGTTATTTTCATTAGAGATGGGAAGTTAGTATTCCTATCTAGGTCTATATCTCCTTAGATTTTTTAGTTCAGATCTATTTTTTTGATTGTTTCAGACCAGCTATAAAACCACTGAGTGTCACCTAGAGACTTAAAAGTAACGGCGTTAAAGTAGATTTATTTATACGTCCAACAACATTTCCTTCTGAATATGGTTATTTGTTTTACTTACACATCTGACACCAGAAGCTGCAAAGAGCAAAACATATAAAATAATTATAAATCTTGTCATGATTAGCTGGTAAGTTAAGAAGCTCCTGCTGCTAAAAGTAACTTGTACATAACAAGGAAAGATGAGAAATGCAATAAACTTGGTTATAAGAAACACAGAGATAAAGGGAGCATAATTAACTTAATCAAGCACCAGTCTAACAGAATAATGCATTCCATTAATTTAAATATGCATATAGGCAAGGTTAATTTAAATCCAGATCACAAATATCTAAATGACAGATGGTTTTAAAGTAGTCCATAGGAAAGATACATAATGATTAATATAATCTGTATACCTTCAGTGTTTTATTTTCATACACATTCGCACATCTAACAATGCTTCATCTCTAATGATTAAGTATCCCTAGATAGAAAATCAGCATCATTATGCTCTTCAGTTAAGCTTCACTATCCTATTTTATTTGGACTGTAATAAAAGGTTACAATTCTTTAGAAAACAATTCTTTCAGGATTCATTCATTCTTTGGAACAGAAGAAGCAATAAGCAAAACAAAACAAAACATTGTGGAAGCAGTAGTTTTGTTAATTGAACTAAAACAGATGTGATTTAAATTCAATTTGTATCCAAGTTTAATAGAGCAATAATAATGTAGATGCTCAACTGGATATATTAAATCTCCTGTTAGTTTTCTGAAGCTATAAGAAATATGAACTAATTTCCACATTCAATTAACTCAGGTTGTTTTTTTTTTCTTCTGCAGACCTTAATTTAAAATTGTGAGTTGCATAAATAAATTAATCTAGAGATCAGAGAGAATTTTAATATACTTGTTTGGTGATATTGCATGGAATATTAACATAACACACATTGCTGACTGACATTGCTACAAATTCTTGTGTTTGCATTACTAAGAAGTGTTTTACATGCTGCAGGTATTGATTTTATAACTGACATGGCACTCTAATGTACAGGTTTTCTATCTGGCAGTTAAAAAATACAGTTGAGATATTTTGCAATTTTGATGGCAGATCATACCCAGTAAATATTTTTACATTATGGTCAGTTGCACAGTTTCCTATTTTCTAATCTTGGCTAAGTTTTAAAGTTTGACACAATGTTTTATTTAAACTCTAATTTGAGTGTTTGATCCTGCAAGTGTTTCATGAATGGTTGACTGACATTTTTCAAGCAAATTCATACGGAAGCTAGCCAAAGGCCAGCCATAAGCTCATCTGATTGAAGCTAATATCCTAGACCCAAAATAATCTGGAATTAGGCCAGGGTATGGGATGGAAACAGCTTTAGTTGCACCTATGGATGATCTCCAGCTCTAAATGGGTTTGGATAGACATCCATTCTCATCCTCCTGGATCTCTCTCTACAGCATTTGACATTGCTGACCTGGAGACACTGCTGTCCCACCTGAGAGAGGTGGCAGTGGTCCAGGAGAATGTATTAAGAATGGTTTACATCCTTCCTGGAGAGACACAGTCTCAGAGAAGTGATGGGGAACTGCACTTCTGCCACTAGCCTGCTTCCTGTGGAGTCCCACAAGAATCAATTCTCTCTCTTGTCCTGTTCAACACTAACACGCAGCTACTAGGTGAACTGGTCAGATGACATTGTCTCAAGTGCCAGAAATATGCAAATGACACACTGCTCTTTCTATCCTTCATGATATATGTCCATACCACTATTATCAAGATGGTTGGGTGCTTGGATGAGTTCTTCTCATGGACAAAGGACAGATAGTTGAAGTTGAACCTGAGTACGACAGAGGTTTTGCTGGTAGGCAGAGGAAAACTCTTTGTGAAATGTGCAGCTATGGTGCAGTCTGCTCTGGTTGAAGGTACACACCTAATTGTCAATTCAGTCCATAATTTAGGGATGCTCCTAGATTTCTCACTGATGCTAAGCTCCCACATTGTAGCATTTGTGAGTAATGCTTTCTGCCATGTTCGGAGTCTCTCTCCCATCCTGGCACACGATGTCTTGGTCTTCGATATAAAGCAGGGGTTCCCAAAATTGGTTCACGTCTTGTTCAGGGTAAGCCCTTGGCGGGCCACGAGACACTTTGTTTACCTGAACATCCACAGGTACGGCTGGTCGCAGCTCCCAGTGGCTGCAGTTTGACATTCCAGGCCAATGGGAGTTGCGGGAACTGGCGCAGGCCGGGCCACTGCTTCCCGCAGCTCCCATTGGTTGGGAACTTACCCTGAACAAGCTGCAAACCAAGTTTGGGAACCCCTGATATAAAGGCATTTGCAATGCAGCGCAATCCGGGCATGAAGCCATCAGCTCTTAGGAAACTCCAACTACTAGAGAATGCTGTAGCATCTCTCCTCAGTAACACAACTACTGTGAGCACCTCAAACCTGTCCTCCACTCTCTTCACTGACTTCCCATATAGAACATCAAGTCAAGTTCAAGGTCTCAATCCTTATCTTCAGGGCACTCAGTGTCCTGGGATCAGCATATCTATGTAATCATTTAGCACCTCAGGTGGTTGACAGATCTGCTCCTCTGCCACAATGGCACTCTGTATCATAAACGTAATGATTATTTATGCAAGAGACGGAGCTTTCATGAGAGTGGGTCTGAGACTGTGGAATTAATTCCCCTAGGAATGAAGGATCATCGCAAACATCACCACTTTCCATTCCAAGGAAAAGGTGAATTTCTTTGAAAAAGGTCATTGGAGTGTGTACATATACCAAAACAAAACACTAAACTGAACACAGTTTTTTTCCCACTGGGGAAAGGATGAGAGCAAGAATGAACCACATGTCATGGTGGTTGATGCACTACTGGAAAGGTTCTTAGATACTACAGGATCACCACTGCCAGACAGCAATGAGAAGATTATCTTAATCATTTCAGTCTGAATGAAAGTGGGGCAGGCAGGAATGGGTCAGAAGAAACTGTTACTTAGTCCTGCTGAAAGTAAATTCAATACTGATGGTATTCAGCATGCATGTACAAGGCTTTGAGAATTTTTGTGCATGGACTTGATGTGCTTTACAAGCAAGTGTGGGCAACAAAATATTTTTTGCCATAGTAAGTTTTTCTAATATAGACAAGGCCAATGGAAATTATATGCAGAGTGCTTGAAGCTTGCATTGGGAATAAGGAGAGAGGCTATTAGCTAGCTAAGTGGGGAGGTGGTCACTCTGTGTGGCTTTGCAGAGAGTGGCAGAAGAGGGCAACGGAGGGGGTTGTTGGGGAAAATTCACTGGCGCTGAAGACGACCAAGAGCACCCAAGACTCATCACTTGACTGGAACTTTGCCCAGAACTCCTGAACTCTATTGCTAGGTGTCTGCCCTTTCAGACTGTGGTACAACTGGGCCTGTGGAGCCTTGTGTTGAATGCAACCCTGTTTTATTGCGCCACCTATCTTCCCCCCTGTTGTTTTTCTCCTTTTATCCCTCCGTAAATAAATATTTCCCTTTCTTATATTCATTGTACTCTCCCGGTGTGTGTGTGTTCACTCTGAGGGGCTTGGAATAGGTGCCCCTAGGGTGGAAGGGATTTTCCCTGAAGTGTTCCTGTGTGTGCCTTCTCTTGGCCAGAGCTGCCTGCAGAGCAGACTCCATATTGGCCATAAAGGTGCTAAAGTTACAGATGTTTATGCTGTTCCTGCTTATGCTGTTCCTGTTTATGCTGTTCCTAGTATTGGTAGAGCTCAGATGCACAATAGAATGGAGAACACCTTTCACATCCAGCTTGCTAGAAAACACAACAAATTCCCCCTGGAGGATGATCTTGGGAAGCTAATCATGCATTCCTCCAAATTAAGTTACTGCAACTTACTCACTATATCTAGGCATAAAACTAGAAGCAATGCAGAAAGCTCTGAGTTTGTTCATAATGTTGCAGCCCAACTCAAATTGGATGAAACATCACAAGCATATTACTTCTATGTTGCAATCCCTCCACTGGCTCACAGTCTATTTTGGTTGCTAGTTCAAGTTCAATTGATAGGAAAAAAACTGCATCTCTAAGAAAGCTATCTCCCTATAGCCAGAATGATAGGGCTATAAGGAAAAAGGGAGGAGGGAAAATGAAGTATAGGTATATATCTCAAGCAAAGCCTTTTGTACCTGGGAAGGGAGAAGAGCTAAGTTTCCAGGTTTACAAAGGACCTCACCAAAGGACCTCACCAAGATCTAATTTACTTACCAAGCACCAATATACTATGGCGGTGGCTCCTATAGGCCAAATCTTCAGACCAATAAATATACTGCATTATTGATTTTTTTTTCTCTTACTGTTCAGACATTTTTAAGGTTTACTCTGCAAATATTTTAGAAACCAACAGTTTTTATAACATTTCAAGTGACAACACAACAAAAATGTTGAGTGGAATTTATAATTTTGGCAAAACTAAGCAAACACAGAACAGAACTCTTAATGTATCATTGTGCTAATT